AAGCAGGAGGGTTCCAATACATTGTTCACACTCAATGTACACTCTCTGGCTACCCTGAGTTCTACTTACTCTGTTCTGAAACTAGACAAAGTATTGGACAATTCATTTTTGAAGATATTCTCTGTCAATTTGGTGCATGCCTAGAACTCATTACCAACAACAGAACCCTATTTGTTGCCACACTAGATTGGCTTTACAACCAATACCACATTAATCACATCTGTATTAGTACATACAACTCTCAAGCTAATAGTATTATTGAACACTGCCACTTCAACATACAGGAAGCCCTTATGAAGACTGCTGAAGGGAATGAGCTACAATAGTATGAACACACACATTCTGTCTTTTGGTCAGATTGGATCACAATCTGTCATACAACTAGTATGTCCCCTTATTTTATTGTCCATAGCATTGAACCACTTCTCCTATTCAATATCACAGAAGCAATGTATCTTACTCTAGTACCAGACAAACTCATGACAATGACAGAACTCATTGTAACTCAAGCATGTCAACTACAGAAACGTCTGGCTGACCTTCAAGCTATCATAGAACACATCCATACAGACTGGATTACTTTGCTCCAACAATTTGAAGAAACACACAAACACTCAATCAAAGATTTTAACTTTGAACCCAGTCAACTTGTCCTCATACACAACTCCAAATCACAAATGGATCTCAGACGAAAAACCAAGCTATACTATCTTGGACTGTACATAGTAGTCTGTTATACACAAGGAGGATCCTATATTATAGCTGAACTCAATGGATCAGTCTCCTGTCTTCACATTACAGTGTTCTGCTTGGTTCCATACTTTGCCTACACTATACTCTTGATTCTGGTTACATGTCTTGTTGAAAACTTTGGTCCAGCTAATAAAATCAACAACACTAACAACCTACTACTGTCAGACAAGCCTTCCAAGGACTCTGACTCTGACTAAAGGCCAATTGTGGCCAACCACTATAGACCTATGTACTCCTTACTTTCTTGAATTTGCCTTTTTCTATTAACCCCTTATAATATTCTAGACAACATTCTAATCCTATTCTACTCTATCTTCTGTTTTTCTTTGATTTTACTTTTAACTAATTGTAGATTATAGTTAGACTTACACTTTGAACCCACATGGTTTTCCCTATAGTATGTTTTTTCCCACTAGGTTTTTTGTACACAGGTTTTTGTCCAGTGGCCCTTAGACCACTTTTGCATTTCTTCAGTCACAACAGTCTCAAAGTCATGTACTGAGAGCCTTGTTCTGTTCTGTTCTGTTCTGTTCTGTTCTTGTTCTGTTCTCACACTGTTCTTGTTCTATTTTGGTTCTGTTTTTGTTCTGTTTCTTTTTCAGTTTTGTTCTGTGCTTGTTCTGTTCTCATTCTGTTCTTGTTCTGTTAGTTTGCCTTACTTTCAGTATGCATATGGCCTTGCCTCTGTTGTTTACCTATCAATGCTGAGTCACTCTTATTACCTTACAATTATCACACTCATACTTTAGTAACATCATGCATTGCTATGAACATACAGAAAATACTATTCAAAACTATAGAGGGGGGATTATATTTGGCCACTTCTACAGACAGCTTTTACATCAACTGTCTCACCTATGCTGGTTCAGTTGTTCTGAATAGAATGTCTAATTCTGTCCATCCTTCTGTCCATCCTTCTGTTCATCCTTCTGACACCTCACCTTTGTGCCCATCCTAGCCTGTAGCCACTCTACATCCTGTATCATTGTATCCAACATTGTACAATAGGCAGCCACCTGCCTTCCAAGGACACAAAGCTTGTGTTCAAGCTCCAGATCCTCTTAGAACTCACTGTCATCCAATGAGTGTTCCAAGAGTTCACCTAGAAGAATGTTGTCTTTAAAAGCTATTAGTATTGATCTCAGAACAACTTACCCAGATCCTCCAGACACACCCTTGACAGTCTAGCCACAGGGTATGGGTTTGTCACTATTGTCCTCCCCTGCCTTGACTGTGCATCCCTCACCACCTTACCAGTCTTTGTGAGAGAGTAACAGATCTTACTCTTCTTACATACTGTACATACAATTGTCTCACCATACTCTTGAATACATACTATGTGCTGACAGACACAGTTACTACACCTCTGACTCGTCAAAGGTGTCAGACCACTGTCTAGCACTGACTCTGGCACTAGAGAACTGTTCCAGAACCACAACTCAACCTGCCTGTTTTCAACCTCCTCCACTACCTAGTCTGTCTTATAGAAGTCTGATTTGTACAACACAGAACACCTCCTGCCTGAATATATATAATCTGCATCTAGATCAAGTGACTAGTAGTAGTCAGTTGAATTGTCAACAAGCAAAGAAGGGACTATGTACTGCTCAAGTTGTCCTCCTCATCATTCTGACAGTCTGGTGACACTCCTTGCTACTCACAAAGGAGTGTGTCCAACCTCTCATTATCCAGTGTTTGATCTTGCTCATGTACTCAGTATGTGAACAACTCACACTCTAGCTCAGAACCCTACAGAACGTCTGGTTCACCCATAGGAGCACCTGTCTCAGCATTCTGGACAGTATGCCTAACCACATCAGACAGCCTCAGAACTACAACCTCTACTACCTGCTTTGTCAGAGGAGCAATGCTTGGTTTGTCAACAGCCATAGCATCTTCATGCCCTTGAAGCAGTTTACCAATTAGAGCATCCTTACAGCTACTGTACTCTGTATCAATTTGTAACACCCATGTTTCGAGTTGAAGCATGAGCTACTATAGTGTGGCAAGCACAAAGCTGGCCTACACACTTAATACAGTGAGTGTATCCTAATCAGCCTACAGTGTCTTGTTAGAAGACCTAGAGACAATGTGACATCCAAGTACTTACCTGCAACTGTACCAGTTCTGCCCTCCACTCTGTTGCCACTAATAGCTGATCCACTGTCCTTGCATACTGTAGCAACTCCTGTGTCCTTTAGGCAAGGGCCTACACTCAGTTGTAGACCTGATTCACTTCTTACAACAACAACATAGTTGAAGAAGAAGGACAAACTTGAAAAGAAGTAGAAGATCAAAACATGAAGTACACCAGTTTGCAAATTTACACCCTCAGGTGTGACTGGGGACAGTCACATTCTAAAACACCCAGGAGATGTCACACTCACACAACACATACATTCTAATACATTCTGATCAGAAGGGCTTAGTCACATCAAAGTTGCATCATCCTCATGTCAGCAATCCTTTGATTATGTCATCATTGCTCACACAATAGTCTTGGTTGCTCAACTCAGACTAGTTGGGTTCTAGACTCTAGTTCTGATTCACAAAGGTAAGACTCTGAGCCTTTAGACAGCTAGTTGATCAATACAAAGGGGACTCAGATCCAGAGTCCTGGATGGGTTGATACAAAGGAGACAGTAGTGGATTTGTTCACAAAGGACTAGTAGCTACAAAGGACTCATAATTTCTATAAATACTCTCATGTAATTTGTACTTTCCAGCAATCAAGTTACTCTCTACTGTGACTCTTAGTGTGTAGTTTGACAGTCTCCTCAGTTAACATTCCATCTTACCTTGTCTTGTTTTGTATTGCCTTGTTCCAAAGTACAGCTTTGTTGTTCCACACTACTCTTGTCTTGTTAATTGTCACCTTCAGAACTTGTATGTTCTGCTCAGATCTACCTATTCCTTCTCACTCTTGACCCCTCTCAGTGTCTGTACCTTACAGACTCAACTGACCTCTTCTACCTCAACTAGTACTTGAGATTGACACTACATATAGTTTGACTTAGTACTAAAAGTTCTTAAAGTGCTACTCATTAAAGTCTAAAGGGTAGGCTACATGTACTTTCTTTCTAGAATAGGTTACAACTTCTAAAACAATTAGAACAGGTTCTGAAAGGGTTAGAGGCATGTAGTTAGTAAAAGCCTCTTAGATAGAGATCTACACATATTAAGCTAGTTCTACTTGTAACTACTAATCTGGTAGAACAGTAAGGGTAGCAGTTAGTGTAGGAGAGTCTATATTTATACTATAAAGGAATTGGCACTAAACTAAAAGGGGTAATGAATAGAAGAAGGGTGGCAAAAGTTTAAAAGGGTTTAGAAAGTTTAAAATTTAAAAATGTAAAAGGGTTGGGACAAAGAAAAGAGATTGACACAATAGTAAGTACTAATACTCAAAACATAGGAGAGTTGTAGAGTAGTAATAGGTAGTCTTAATCTAATGTTAGTAACAGTGTAGAGGGGACCTGAAGGCTCAGTAAGGGGACTCAGGCTACAACTATCCTACACAACAGAAATACAGAACACAAACACTAGAACATAGTCAGAACTTGTAGAACAGGTAGAGAGAGAGAGTGAGACAAGAGTAGAGTATATAGAGTAAGCCTAAGAGTATAGGACTACCTAGAGTAGACAAGATCAAGACTATAGAACTAGTCTGATCTTGTATACCTATATATACTAAACTACACAAGAGCACTCAGGGAGTATGAGCTACTAAGAATGATAAGCCATAAAGAATGAAAGAAAGGAAGGTCAAAGATAAAGGTACAAAGAATAAAGGGATGGACAAAGGGTAAGAGACTATAGAATGAACAAAGAATGAAGGGGTGGTCAAAGGAATAGGATAATGAAGTAAGGAAGGGTAGTAGTAAGAGTCAGCATACATATAGTCCATAGACAGTGCCCCCAAGGGACAGAAGTCCTGAGTTCTGGTACAGAAGGGTGTAGAACCCTCGGAACTGAAGGTATGAGAGTAGAGAATCGTAACACTACTAAGCTGTCATCCAAGGTCCGAGGAACACACAACTTCATCAGTAACTGATCCTGTGATTCCTGTCGGTGCCTGGGTGTTGTTCCACAATATGGTGTGAGGCAATATTTATAAGTTCCCCACCATGTGAGAATTGGGAGTCAAACGAAGTGGGACACTGGACAGATTTGAATCGAGCTTGACCTCCGAACTTACGTAATGCTCATAATCGAAATAAAGCTTGATGTACACCGTACAGAGAATTGGGGTCGGGAGACTTCTGCAATATTTCCATTTCTACAAAGCAGGTATATGGGAGAGGAATAGGATTACACTATTGTAGAGCCTATGGAACTCCGTAAATGTCATCGCCGTACCCGTCCACACCCAAGAACCACATCATCACCGACATAAACAGATTCATCGTAGTTCTCGTCGCACCTCATAATTTCCTGTTATCAACAAACTCGACTCACGTTACGCGCATTATGTCGGACCACGTTCACGCTCAACTAAAATATCGGATAATAACCCATACGATCCCTCCGCCAAGTGCGATAGCGGCAATAAATATCCCAATAATCCACATTACTAACTCCGACGTGGTCAAGTCATGTACCGGACCTGCCTCTCTTAGTTCTCCATTTTGGATCGCACCAGATGCACGGAGCTCTTCGATACGTTTTCGTCTGCGGACTGCGGATGTAATTTCGGCGTCTCGATGTGCAATACGTGCGCGTGCGTCGAGTTCATTGAGTGAGTACCCGGCTTGGGAACCTGGAGATGGGAGGAGGACGAATGAAGGGTAGTGCGATTCGCACCATAGTTCGATCTGTGGTGAACAAGTCAAAAACACGTTAGTAATTTAGGTATTAGATAAATGCACAAATTGTAGTTGTAACGTGAAATGGATTAATTAATGGTAAGTAGGGACGAACCTTGCCGCATGCCACGGAGATACGGAGAAAATTGGGGTCTGCAGGCACAGCTTTCGCGTGGATATCACGCGCGTAATCTCGGAACATGTACGCCACATCGCGTGGATTTGTTGATCGCATAATTAACTACGGCAAATTCGTCAAATTATAAGCGATTGAAAAAGCGGGCAAGATTTTAGACATACTCTTGCGGCAGCAGCCTTCCGAATCTTCACATTTCGGTGGAATACAGCGGGGTTCATAAAGCAAAGCGCTAGAGTAGCCATAGCCATTGTCTGCGGGATTGCACAGAAGTTGAATACACTCTGCGTCTTCAGTAGAGCGATATACTCCAGCGAATCCACAGCATGTCGAAGTGCGTCAAGCGTCATTGCGCTCAAGCACCAAAGAGCACGTTGTTCATTCTCCGGTTTGTACATTTCTCGTGGGTCCGCAAAGCCAAAGGATTCTGACCAGATTGCTCGAGGCCAAAATAATCGCCCAGCATCAACGTCTTCGCGGAAATCTCTCAAGACGTTTGTCTTTTGAAGTAAAAGACCCATGGCATTCGAAAGAGCGAGTTGGTCGCCTAACCAAGATACTTCCTTCCCAGACGCAGAAAACAGTCGAGAAAGGCCTTCCCCGACAAGGCCAGCAACATAGTGACAATATAAGTCAAGATCCTCCATGCTTCCGAGACCAAGTGTACCGGTCTTGTACGCGAGGTGCGCGTAGTCCGCCATGCCCTGTGCCATCTTGTCGCAAATGTCGAGAATGACTGTTAGGTATGAGGGGTCGAGCCGAAGGAGTTCGTCAATAACGACATTGAATTCAACGAGAAGCTGTCTGTCCCTTTCGCGAGGACCGTTTCCCGTGAATGTCCATCCTGGCGTTGCACATTTTTGAGCGAAGGATCGGAGCAGAGGTTGTTTGACCTCGTCAGCTATCGTCATGTCATCTTCGATAGTGTCTAACCCGCGTAATACAAGGTAGAATAAACATATCTATCCCAACAATTATTTTCTCCATTTTCTACAATAAATTACGGTACTTACCACACGCGCTAATTCACCGTCCAGTTCTTTAATCACGCTGGAGAAGCTTCGACTGGTCATGTCGAGGAAGTACCAGCACCTCCGCATGCTCTCCCTGTCATAACCCGAAGTGGGATATTCGATTGCAGAGGTGATATCCCGTTTCTGTTCATGGTAGATCCAGAACTGTGTAAGGGTGCGGAATTCGTTCGGGTGTGTGAAGAGAAGGAGAAGGAGATCCGTCGCGCCCATGATGGAAAATGCGGACAGGGGGTAGGGCAGCAACGATGACGGCGACGACGACGGAGATGATGAGAGAAAAGGAGAGAGTGAGGGAGAAAGAGAATGGAACGGGCAACGGAGTCGAGTAAATGACGCTGAGCTGAGAATTGAGACTCGTACCACTCCTCTCTGCCGAAAATACAGATGATGTAATCAATGTCGATCCAACTCGGGCGTTGCCTTACATGGCAACAGCCAGTCAACTTGCGCTGTTCCGCACGCGACATAAGCCGTCCAGTTCAATATACCCAATGCTTCCGGCAGACAGGAGGTATACTGCATGCTTAACTACGTATCTCACTCAGATACACGCTTCCCGCGTACAATCTACATTTTCCCATTTGTTCATTTTGTTTTGCTTTTTTGTCACGCGAATCGACTAAACCGCATGGTCAACTGGTCCTGCACTCTCATAATCGAAGATACCTCCTCGTCTTCACCCTGTTTGCATGCAGATATACTTTCTGGCTCCCACATTGAACTAAACTGATCGGTTTCGATTTCTTGATGATCAACGCTGGGCGTCTGTCATTGAGCGTCTGTCGCTTGATCTAACTGTATTTCTCGCAATGAACCCGCAAAAGGACGCTGTACAATTGACAAGGGTTCGCATCTTATACCAGACCATCATTCTTTGCGTTACTCAAGCATCGACTGTCTGGCATGCCTGGTGAACAAGTCGAGACTACAGGACAACTCTCCATTCCTGGTTCCACACAGACACAGTAGGCACAAGCGTCTATTCTATTCCCACGCTACTAGTACTGATAGCATCTGTGCAGGGCAATCCATATTCGACGTAAAGCTTCAATGTCGCTAGTGATCCTTGCATATATATGCTGATGGTCCGTATTTGCAGGTATTGAAGTCAAATATAAGAATGCTCTCAGACGACGGCCTGTCTCACTGGAAGTCAAAACTGGTGCTGATGCATCACAAAGCTCACGCCGGTATCCATTGGAAGAGGATATAACCTGGAATATTGACAGGTTGGTGCTAAATTTACCAGATTACCGAACACACGATAACGAGTATTTAATTCTAATGACAGACAGCTGGCATCTCCAACAGTGCTCACTATCGTTATCCGTGAGCATCGAACTATGCACTCGGATAAGAGATGTGAGGTGGTCGTCGCTATTGAAGATAGCATGGTGATCAAGCCTGTCATCGTTATCGACGGTATGATTGCGCTGGTATCCTGTCTTACGGCTGACTTGCGCTTATTCACAACTTGTTTCCAGAACCACATGGCAAACAGATATCTGTTAACGTTCACTGTGAAACCGCTGGGCTGGTATGGAATTAACCACAAGAAGCTGTGTGCATGATATACTAATCATTGCCCGTTAGTTCATCGATCTAATCCGTCGCCTTGTCGAAGAATCGCAGAATAGACTGGATAAAATGAAACACTTCTTGGACAACCTCGGGAGGGCGTGCGAAGTCCTGAACTTCGTCGCTAGCATCACGGAAGTTGCATCCGACGTAAGCGCCCACGGTATTGACTTAGAATCAGCAGTTTTGAAACACTCTTACTCTAAGGTGCACCCTGCGGTCAACGCAGCAGTCTCTGCAGTAAATCTACTATACGAGGTACCAACAACTATTCTCGCCGTGCACGCACCACTTATAAATTCTTTCAGACATGCAAGAAGCACCAGGTGTGCCATAAAGCGGCATCGGACCTTATGGCTGATCTGGCATCATTTCTTCCCTTTGTCGAACTGCCCAAGGATCATTTAAAAACTAAAGTTACTGCTCAGACGGCAGATGACATGTTAGTTCTCTTCGAAAAGATCGCACGCATGATAATCCGGTACTCGGATAGCACTACGTTGGGTATGCTCTCGCATGGTTCTGAGGCTCCTAAACTCTGATGCAATTATTCATTAAGGGATGTTGCTATGCGACCGGATTGACGAGGTTGAATCATATAAAGAAGATCTCAGGAGGAAGAAGGAAACGTTTGATTGGTGCGCAAAAACAGAGATATGGAGGACTGTCTTGAGCATAGGTACGAGCTAATGATTTTGCGTACTTCTTCGATGGGAAGATAATGTCACTTTAGAGGCGTTCGAAGAGTCTTCGGCCCTGAATCGACTGGAACCGGTACGAAGGGCTTTTTATAGCACGGAGAAATCATGCTTTGACGGATCGAGGAGGACGATACTTCAAGCGATAGATAACTGGTCAACCTCGGACTCTAAGGTGCTCTGGCTCCACGGTTCGGCAGGTTCTGGAAAGACAACGATCACACATACCGTTGCTCAGCTTTTCGACGAACAGAATCGCCTTGCTGGTTGCTTCTTTTGCGACAAGAATGACAGTGATCGTCGAGACCAGCATAGAATAATGCCGACGATTGCATATCAATTAGCAAAGTGGCATGAAGCCTATCGTACAAACATTTCCAACGTCTTACAGGGCCGCGGCGAACTCGATCTGAACGCGGGGTTGGATCGTCAATTCGAACTGCTAGTGAAACGTCCGTTATCGCAGTTGACTGTCCATCTGCCCCCACAGCATAGACCTCTAATTATGGTTCTGGACGCATTGGACGAGTGTCATCAATTCGCGAACTCTGGCCCACTTCTAGCCGAATTTATTAGCGATATCGCACATACGGCACCTTGGCTTAAGGTCTTTGTCAGCAGCGCGAAGTTACCGGAATTAGACGCTTGTTTTCTTGAATATGACGCTCAGCACCTCGACATCAGCGATTCTTTGATTGACTTGGAGAATGATATTGCCGTGTACGTGAAACATTGTTTGGAGGAGAGCACACTATCGAATGCGGCGAGACGTACACTTGCGCCCAAGGCTCCCAAACTCTTTGGTCGCATCTCGCGAGCGTTCCCTGCGTCACATCCAACTGATGGTGCTCAACTTCCTCGTCCGGTCAAAGAAAGCGGGCAATCTGGTGTCGATGCAATGTTTCACATAGCGCTGCATAGTATCGCAGAAAAGCAAGGAGAGGAGGGGACATTGTCACCGACAATATCGGACGTTTTAGCATTTGCATCTTGTATTACCAGTCAAGGATCGCTGACAGAGGCTACTCTCATACATGTCTTGCGTCAGTTCTACGCAGGAGTAACGACACATGAACTGCACAACGCTATCGATTCCCTTCATCCACTCCTAATCAAAGATGACAGTGACGTACTTCATCCCATATTTCCATCGGCGACCTTCCGGGAATTTCTGGCAGACAGAGATCGCTCGGAGCCATTCTGGACAGATTCACGCTTGCTCAACAGTAAGCTTGCCTGTGTATGCTTAAACGTTCTGCATGAGCAACTCAAGTTTAACATATGCAGCCTGGAGTCGTCTTACCTTAGAAATCACGACATCCCTGAATTGGACATGACCGTCAAAGCTAGTATTTCTGATGTGCTTATCTACAGCAGCTTGCACTGGATGGACCATATTTCACTATCAGGTGACGGTTATGCTCTACACGACGCTGTGACCAACATGCTTTGTTCTCCGAAAGTCTTGTATTGGATGGAGGTCCTGAGTTTGTACGGCTCTGTGGAGAAGGGAAGGAAAATGCTGCTGGAATGTGCTGACCATTTTAAGGTGAGATCGCCTTCAAGTCCACTTGTATTTTTTCTTTATCTCATACATGTAATTAGCACTCTGCAAAAGTTTTCCACGCCGCAATCGAACTAAGCGACTTTATCTCTACCTTTCTCATTCCAATGGAGACCAGTACACCCCATGTTTACATGTCTGCTGTGATGTGGCTACCGTCAGACTCTTTGATAAGGCAGTGCCTTCGATTTTCTTTCGAGAATGGGTTATGGGTTGTTCTGGATGAACATGGGGATTTCAACTATTTGGGAACGAGACTCAGTGCCACCTTCTTACCGGTCGAAGCTGATATTGTACCTCTGAAGGACCATGTAAGCGAGATATGTATCGCAACTTATAATCAAGATAGGACCAGGATTGTATCAGGGACACACTATGGAATATTGCAGATCTGGAATGTGCAGGATAGCAAGCATATTATTTCCAGCACATGGAAGGGGCATAATGGCCGTGTTACGTCTGTCGCGTTCTCTCCGGATGGGTGTAGGATTGTATCGGCGTCAAATGACAAATCTCTGCGGATTTGGGATGCGAAGGACTGTACGCCTATCGGCAAGCCTTTAACGGGTCACAAGGGCTGGATCAGAACTGTTATGTATTCTGTAGATGGGAACACGATTATCTCCAAGTCGATTGGTGGGACGGTACATATTTGGGATGGTCATCGTGGAACGTTACTCGAGATGATTATCCCGAGAAAATACTTGTGGGATATTCATAAGGAAAGTTTTGCCTTGATAACAGGAGACGGGAAAACGACTACGACGATCCATAACAACTCTGTTGTAGAAATTCCCAAGGATGGCTGGCTCCGAACATCAGACGGCGGATTACTGTTATGGGTCCCACCGAAGCATCGGAATAGTTTACACACGAATGGCCATCTCTGCATTTTGACGGATGCTGATGGTCAGGTCATGACATTCAACTGGAATAAGCTCTACCATGGGAAGGAGTGGATTCAAATTATGCATCCCGAGGGTTCAGTCTCATGGACGAATACATTCTCCTAAACTTATGAATGTTGTGGTTATGTTGTATTATGTATACGAAATTCATCCCTTTCTGCCAATTACGCAGGTCAAATGCACGGAAATAGCACTGTATTTCGTACATCATGCTTGTCTCTCACAGTTCCACAGCACATACTTGATAGTGGAAAACATGCAGGAGACGCATGGACACATTATCTCTCATCGAATGCCTTCAAAGGACCGGGAATTCGAAGTAACCATTTGGACTGTCTGGAAAACACGTTTCATAGTATTCGGAAAATTGATAGCACAGGAGAAATGGCTATCCAAAGTAATGATTAAGGAAACGTGAGATGCTAGCATTTGAGACGGGGCTGTGGCAAACTAACAAATGAGCATTTCCTGGTCGGAGGTCAAGCAAGACAACGACATCATCAACTCAGTTACGTAACAGCTTCAAGCCCATGAGTCACGTGATGGACGCGGTTTGTGGCCTGGTTACAACCAAAGCTCAATTTAGCGCATGGTGCCACTGCCATCTTCAATGGAAATGCCCTCTAGACGTGATATGCCCTGTATAAAAACTGATATACTACTTCTGTAATATCAGTATCACTGTTGGCCTATAGCGCATCGCGGATGCCATTGAAGTCGCACCTTTATTCACTCAAAAGTTAACTGGTCAAGACGCAACATCAACCAAGCTTTACTCAATCCGAGTTAATCGTTGCATTGCAAGGTCAAGTAAATTCGGCATGATACAAGTACGCCATCCCATTCAGACTTTAATATACTTTCTCTATTTCTTCCGGGGAGCGCTAAGAACAGGATGTCTGAAGCAACGCCGCGGTTCGTCTTAATTATCAAAACACATCTTCACAGTAGACTGACTCCAAGAAGTGAGGCAACCGGCCACAAAAGTTAACTCTAGATTTCAAAGTCTTTGTAGATACTAATCAGAACTGAAGGGTTACTCGCCGACGATTCGCCGCCTATTTACTACGCTAGGACTGATTCATCGTGCTACAAGCATGTGGTTATCCGTAGAAAAAAACTCCGCAGCTATTCATGCAACCATCTTCCTCGCTGGAAACTATACTGAAGAGTGTCTCAATGTCCACGATGCAATCGCGATGCCCAGTTGGTACGTCGTGGCATTATCCGGTCGCTTTACGATGTTCTAAAGCTTGTATGACGACAATAGGTGGCCACGAGATCTGTACAGAGCGGTCGGCCACGATCAACGGGCCACATTAGATGCTGTATGATCACCTGTCCCGCGAGTATATATATCGGGAAGCAACCTCAACCTCAACTTGAACCCGAACCTTCATAATCTTCGCCACTCCTTCACTCTTCTCCTCTGACATTTTATCACCCTCCTTGACGTTTTAAGCATGGATAGCTACAACGGAGTAACTCCTATGCCAGGCCTTCCACGCCATCTAAACCCGTACGCTGGTCAGGACACCGGCAGACACACTCCTTTCAATCGCACCCCGTCGCCTCTGAGGCAGAGCATTGTTCCCTACGACTATCAAACAATCCAAGAATGTCCGATGGACGTTGATGCAGTTGGAAGCTCTTACCCCGTCTTTAATGTTGGTTCATCCACGACTAGCCCAAATGTTTCTCCGCGAAGATCGCCTCGGCTGTCAAGAAAGCCTAAAGCCGCAACTACGTCGGCGCATTCGACGAATACAGATGTTGTGTATGTGGTTAATGAATTTTAACTACTTGGTTCAAATCTTGACGTACGACTTTGTAGCTATCCTAAGAATGCCCAACGTGGTTTGTGATTCATTATCCACGTGCAACTAATGAATAGATTACTAACAGCCGTTATCAGCTTTAGAAGCGTTTAACAACAGTATAGCGTTTGCACATGAAAGCGCCAGCAAGGGGAAATTGTCGATGCATAACAAGAAGGTTGTCTTGGAGCATATTAACCTATGCATCGACACTGTGGCTTACGACCGCGAGAACGTCAAAATGGAGCTGAAGTACAAGAGCAACCACACCGAGTTGAAGGCTGCCGTGAGGCTCAAAGAAGTTCTCGAAGCCGAGGTCATCGCTATGAAAGCACAACGAGATGCAGTCATCGAACTTCCTATCAACTTGGAGTACAGGTCTTCACATTAAACGGGCGACGCGTTGCTCGGGTTATGCAACTCAGATGCGGGACATCGGAGCATGGGGGACGCTATAAGTTCGTATGGATCCTGTAAACTTAGACCCTGTGTGGAATAACATACGTATTTCTTTCCTCTGCTTCTTTTTGAGTAAGATGGAAGAGCCAACAATTTGCCAATGCAGCATATCATTTCTCACGCCGAAGATGGTTTATCGCTGAAAAGGGAATACAAAAAGAATCGTTGTAAAATGGTGTATAATGTAGTGTACTTCACCAATATGACAAGAACGCTAAGGAGGACATCAATTACCGCGGACCAGTCTGTCTCCGAGTCCATCTTCACTTGCTGCAGAGTGAATCTTGCGTATGCGAAACGACACCGATTACGTCACATCAGAAATTCAGAATCCTGATTCGTGATTGATGCCTGGACTCTGAATCCATTCTTGTATGAATGGTCATCAAGGGGTTACTGCCCAAGTGTATGCATGTTGTACTTTCCTCTTCCATTTTTTGTGTATAGCTAAACTAAATGACATACATAACAAAAAATCTACTGTATAAAACACACTCCAACTGTGTCAGACAAAATAGCCACCCTGGGGCAGGGCTCTGTACTTGTCCTAAAGGTTTCCCTAAAGGTGTTCCAAAAGGTTACAGACAGGTATGAAAATGAAAGAAGACCTGTTGTGCCACACTACCTTGAAGAAAAGGAAAAGGCAGATCAGGGAATTGTACTGCCTAGTATAAAGAGGAATAGTAAAAAAGAAATAGAGTAAATAGAATACAGAACCTAGGGCAAAGGGAAGAAGGAGGATAGGAGAGTGGGCCAGGCCTCCATGTACTTCCTACATCCATTGAGTGTGTGGTAGTGTTGTGTAAGGTGATACTTCTTACTAAAGTTATGCTCACAATTGACACAAGTAAATGGTTTCTTCACAAAGTACAAAGGCACCATTTGTGTGTGGGAGTTGTTGATATAGTGTGTGTCAGCAACAGTATAGAGGGGACCCAAAGGCTCAGCAAGGGGACCCAGGCTACAACTATCCTACACAACAGAAATACAGAATGCAAGTACTAGAACATAGTCAGAACTTGTAGAACAGGTAGAGAGAGAGAGAGTGAGACAAGAGTAGAGTATATAGAGTGAGCCTAGGAGTACAGGACTACCTAGAGTAGACAAGATCAAGACTACAGGACCAGTCTGATCTTGTATGCCTATATATACTAAACTACACAAGAGCACTCAGAGATTATGAGCTACTAAGAATGATAAGCCACAAAGAATAAAAGAAAGGAATGTCAAAGATAAAGGTACAAAGAATAAAAGGATGGACAAAGGGTAAGAGACTATAGAATGAACAGAGAATGAAGGAGTGGTCAAAGGAATGGAATGATAAAGTAAGGAAGGGTAGTAGTAAGAGTCAGTATGTATATAGTTTATAGACAGTGCTTCTGAGGGACAGAAGTCCTGAGTTCTAGTACAGAAGGGTGTAGAACCCTTAAAACTAAAGGTATGAGAGTAGAGAATTGTAACATCACCCCCCCTCTAAAACCAATTGTCCTGATTGGTGAACATTAGACTTAGTTAGTAGTTTAAGTATAGGTTAGAACAGTAGAGCTTGGAAATCTGTAAGGCTGAGTTTGTGTAGAGTACTAGGATGAAGCTGATAGAAATCTCAGATTGTCTTAAGAGTATGAGTAAGGTTCTTAGTAGGTTCCTAAGTGTGCTCCTCAACTAGGTACCCTTTCTAGTAAACAAGGAATTTGAGTTTTCTGTGTAGTAGCTTAGTATTTACTATATACTCTACTTTGTATTCTAGTTTGGAGCCAATAAGTTCTGGTAGAGGTAGAGGGGGTCTTTGTTGTGAAGGAAAACTAGAATCATAGTACTAAGACAACAGAACCTTATTGAACACTGAGTGTATGTGCTTCTATATTGTTAGAAGTTAGAGTTTGTAGACAGAGGTACTAACCTTCTTTTCAATGACAAAGGGTCTGAAGTACTTGTTGTCCAACTTCTTCATTAGGTAATCCAAGGTCAGATTAGTGGCTTCTAGTATAACCTTGTTACTAGACTGGTAATCCTTGGCTGTAAACCTCTTCTAATTATAGTTCTACTTTATAACCTGTACTACCTTCTCTAAAAGAGCTTATACATCCTTCCTGGTTCTGTACATCCATTCTACAAAGTCTGTTGTAGATTCAGAACTACTGTTCTGGTTCAGAACTGTCCCCTAGTACAGATGTCTCTCATGATTGAGGAAGAACAAGGACTGTCCTATTACAGAGTGTTACTAGTTATTATGTATGAATTCTGCTAGAGCTAACTATTCAAACTAATCTAATTACTAATGATTAATAAACATTTAGAGGTAGAGCTTGATCTCCTGATTAACTTACTCAGTTTGACTGTCAGTCTACAAGTAATAGGTAGTAGAAGGGTTCTCTTAAATTCTAAGAAGTGTATACAAGTCCTGTATGAATTTTGACTCAAATTACAGTCTGTAATTGTGAATGAGCTTCTAAGAGAGTCTGTACAACTAGAAGACATGATTCTGATAGATGTGTACTATACTTTTGGAAGTAAGTTCTGTTTGAGTCAGAACTATATAGACTTGCTTAGAGAATCAGTTAACAATTATACAGATAGTGTTGTAACTCTAAGACTTGGGTAGCTTACTAATCAGGTCTACTGAGACTTCTTCCTAAGAGTAATTCAGGATCTAATGTAAATGTAGAGGAGCCCAAACCCTTGTCTGGTAGGCCTTAGTCTGTTAGTATGTATTATAACTAGTCATGTACTTTAGTATTTCCCTCTACATTCCTAACTACTAGTAGTTCCAAGTAATGAGTTCCTACATTTTGTGTTAGTCTAAATGTTCTACAGTCAGATTGTTGTGAT